GCCCATAAAAATGGCAAAACACAAAATGTGAAAATACAAATTTGCATGTATCTCCACATAGAACCAACAAACCTTCATGTCAAATTTGTTGAAGTTCCATCAACAGGGGGTGAAGTAGTGGTAAAATATGCAAAATTGCTCATAAAAACTGCAAAACAGAAAATTAGTATGTATTTCCCCATGGACACAATGAACCTCCATATACCAAATTTTGTGAAGATCCATCCACAGGAGGAGAATTAGTGGTAAAAAATGCAAAACTGCGTATAAATACAGGAAAATGCAAAACTGAAATTTTGTATGTATCCCTGCATGGACTTAATGAACCTCTACACCAATTTTAGTGAAGATCCATCCACATGCTGCGAAGTAGTTACAGGGAACATACAACAGATAGTACTGTTATATTTATATACATAAGAGGGGTTTGAACCTATTTGGACAAATAGGCTTAACCAAGAGAATTTGTTAGAAAATTCACCCAATTAAAAATTTATTTTATTTAGGAGATGTGACTCCACTTAATTTTTTCTTCAGTTTTTAACCATCTTCACATCCTTTTTTCAAAACTACTACTTATTCATGATCTACTTTATGTATTCTTCTTACAAACCAAGCAATTCTTCTTATCCTAATTCTGAAATGTATGGCAAACATGGATTCTGTAATTGATTGTTAATATAACTTCTGTCGAAGCAAGTTACTTGTGTGGATTAGAACTAAATGTGTATAACTATTAAGAAGTATAGCTAATTAAATGTACAAACTGTATTACTAGTGATAAGAATGCAGTGTTTCTTCCATTGGAAACCCTCTTTGTTAAAATGAATCCAATAATATGTGTGATTTTGGTAGCCTAAGAGGCTTAGGTTAGTCTTAAATCCATATATACTATGAACAATGCAAAATAATTATTATAATAAGGTAATAAACATAAAATTACATTAAAAATAATAAAAGTAGATAAACATTCTAACCACACTATATGACTAATATTGTGCTCAAGTACAAAAGGCACTTGCCACTGTTTGAAGTGGATGGAGATAGACAAATTATACTTACTAATATGAAGTGAAGCAGTTTGAAAGTAATTTATGTCCAAAAAAATGTTAAAATGTTAGAAGTAACAACAATGATATAGTCTACAGAAAGAACTAACCAAATACAATGAGCCTGTGGTTCTTTAGAAAAGTCTTGATGTCATGTCATTGCTGAGCTAACAAATGGTATCAAAATGTGTGCTGAATGCTAAAAAAATCATAATTTATAGGTCAGTTGGAGACGAAAAAATTTAGAGACTAGTAAAATTTTGAAAATCTAGGAGTAGTAGTAGTTTAGTTGCATTGCTTGGTCACATATAAGACCAACAAGTAGCTAGAGCTTGACAATAGCCCATCTAAGAAATTACAGGTCACATAAAAATGTTGTTCAAGTATGAGAAATGTTCATTTTATGCTATTAAAAAGATGCTATTACAATATTTACAGATGCTTTCTTCTGTATTTAAATTAGTAAAGAAAGTATCTAGAGATCATTTGTTATAAATGTAATTAATTTGGTTCAATTTGGAAAATGTTAAATTGTGGATATAAATTTAGAAAAAATGGTTGAATTGCAGCATATAGATTTCATGACAACTCATTAATCAATTGAAATAATAATTGAGAATATGTAGTTACTGATTTATTTCTAGTGATAACACAGGTGTGGGTAGTTGTGTTATGGGTGCTGACTTAACATGGTGATTTTACTCCACAAATAGGAAAAGCAAACTTAATGGCTTCAGTGGTGATGTGTACCATTGGTTCATTAAAAAATTACACACTACGAGTGTGATGTAAATAAAGACTATTAAGACAATTTCGTTTTTATGTTTAGTATTTTAGCACAAAATGATAATATAGCAAATTAAAAAATTTTTTAAATTAGTGGTAGCAGTAAAATTTTATTAAATATTTTTATTCTGGATAACACTTCCTATATTCATGTATAGAAAACTAAAATAAAGTATGAAGGTACATAAAATTGTGGCTTAAAAATACATGTATTTTTGGAAGCTGTAAAACTATCCCTCTAAATAATTAAAATTCATAGGTTGTAAAAACTGTGCAACTGTCTGTGAACATAAAATATACTGAAGCTAAATAACAACAAAGCAAATAAATTACATTAAGTTGTATAGTATCACCTGATTTGTGTATTTTATGAAGTATACAATCATGTATCTCCTAAGAACAACAAAGTTTCAGGAAAAAATAACTAATGGTGTTGGTTTAGGTTGTTATGGAACTCTCAGAATTACTGCTTAGACATCAACAAATCAATTAAAACCAGTATTCTGGGGATCCTGCTGTAAAATCAAAGTTTTAATTAAACTGATGAATGTTGCAGCAATAATAAGCAAATCAAAATTAGTTTTTCTGATTGGTATCTTCTATAAGAGAATGAGTTTTACTTCCTCATGACCCAAGAGCTAGTGCAAATTCATTTATGTTGGTGGGCAATTTAGATTTCATATATCTTAAATAGCTCAAATCTTTATTCAGGATTTTAAAAAAAAGTACTGGAGGGGTTTATTTAAGAATCAACCTACTAAATACGTCAATCCTGACTTGTAGACTAGATGTTAAATTGCATGAAAACATAATAATTATATTATAAATTGTATTTTAAATCATTGATATTCATCATGAAACATAGTTATAAAACTTGCATTGCATTTTCCAGAATGTCTTTTCTTCTGAATTGGAATTTTCAGCCTTAATATCACTTGTGATACCAAAGTTCAGAATCTATGGAACATATATATATTTTTTCCTTGTTTGATGACTGTACTTAAATTTCTTTAAAACAAAAACTTTTTTTCCAATAATGTAATACTTTTTCTGTTAAAATTTTCTAAAATATAACATACAAAAGTATGTTATTTATAAGGTAATGTAAATCATACAGACTTCAACAAACCTTGTGTTTTTACAAATCCATATTAACAAGCATTTTGCTAAATGTCTGTTTTAACATGTGTCATATGAGCCCAGGGGGGTCTTTTTTTATTATATATATATATATACAAAAATTGAATGAATATTTCACAAGTTATGCCACTTTGTTTCCAAGTGGACGTGCATAGTAAAGCACATAGGCATGGTAATACAGTTACTATGGGATGGTAGCTGTTTGACTCGTCTTCTTTTGCTGTGACCACGCTCAAAAAACTAATGACTTCAGTTGATCATCTCTTGGGAAATCGTCATTCCAAATGTCGTCTTTAAGCACACAGACTGCATTTTTAGGTGTAATAGTGCAGTTTGATTCAAACACAATTGACACCAAAGTGTCTCTGTAAGGTTGCTGTATTCCCCTAGAAGAAGTAATGTCAAGGGTACCATGTTTTTCATACTTTGCTGTCAGAGCTGTGATACATTGATGAATCTCCATGTTGAATCGATTAGAATATGTAGACTGCAGTTCTTCAAGCATTCTTCCAGGTCCCATTTTATTCCGCTGGTTCTTGAGACCTTTCTTGAACATTTCAACAACATTGTCCTTGCACCAGTCTACATACTTTTGGCCATATATTTTACTGTGTGGTGGATTTATTGCCCAACCAAGAGTAAATTCCTATACAAAGTAGCTGGAATTTGATTTACTTCTTGTGCCCATTTCTGAAGTATTGGAGGATTCGTTGGCTGCTTCCCACCATGATTTTGTGATATTTTTACTGTAGGGGATAATCTATCACATGAACAACCATAATGGCTGCATTTGAAGCATACTCCACAACAAAGGTGCTTCCATTTGCATGTTAAATACTCCATGAGAGTCCCCTTATTGTTCCCTACCACATTTTCCTTCACCTGGCCATCAACTGAATCGTTGATTCATTAAAAGTAGTGCCAAATGGCCACATTTCAGCTAATAAGAATGATCACAAAGTTAGAGCAAAAAGATAAAAAAGCTGCAATGGATTAGCATTTCTTGATCAACAACAAAGGTTCCCTTTTGGCTCATACGACACTTACTGACTATATTACCAAACTTTAACTTGAAGTAGTAAGGGGTGATAGGGTAGAGAGCTAACTTATGAGTGTCCAAAATGAAATAATTTAGTAAAAGTTTTCCACTTAGAAAGGGTTACTATTTTTTAGTGAATTTTAATAACTTTTTTGCAGAAAAAAATATCCTTAAGTTCAAGGAGTTTGATTAGAATAATTAATTATTTTTGCAAAAACAACTTATTTTCTGGATTTGTAATAGTTGATCATGATGTTTATAAACAGATCTGAAAAAGTATGAGTGTATGTACTATACTAGTTCTAAGTTTGGGAAAATAACTCTGTGTATGCACTTTCAACATATTTACTCCAATAATAAATATTGGTTAGATATATTATCCAATACTGTTTAAATATAAAATAAAATAGTGTTAAAAAGTATCCTCATTGTGATGTGTTTGACATAGATAGAATTAACAAAAATTATATTTCACTAACTTAATCTAAATCACACCTCAGCAGTTGTTCAAGCAATTTGTTAATATAAATAGTGTCTGGGCCACTACTTTTTTCTATAGTGTCCCAGTCAACCTTTAAGAGCCCTGGTTGTAGCAAAAGACCTTATCAGCAGTATGCATAACATGTACAATGCGGTTGACATATTATACATTCTTCTTTACTTTCACTCAGGATTTCCCAATAGTAATACAATGGCATTATTCAGATTTGTACATTTTAATTAATACATAAAATCTAGTGAGAATTTGTGTAACATATACAGCTAGTTTTTCAAACTTGGAAAATCATGCTATTTGCTAGTTCCCATTGATTTTATTTGATCAATTTCTTGTATGTATAGATTTATTTGTAAAGAAAAGTTGAAAGATTGAGCTGTAAGATGATGACTTTTGGAATTACTGTTTGATTTCAAAGGAAAATGCAATTTTGGCTGCTTAATGTATCTTAGAGTTTCTGTGATATAGAAATATCACTAAAGTGTAATTAAAACATGAGCGTAAATATGTTCAATTTCTTCTCTCCAAGGAAACATGGTCCTCAGTTAATACCTGGAAATACAAGGCATAACTGGTTCACCAGGTAAGAGTTTAATGTATATATAAACAGTGGTGACAGCTTAGTTACAACTTCTAATCCACTTGGTTTAACAGCTTGTCTTGTATGTATGTGTATAATTGTACTTAATGTAGTAAATCAAGCATCTTTCACTGCTTAATATAGATTTCAAATTAGTAATCACCTATTCAAAGCAAATTGGGAAAGAGTGTGTAAACTTAGTCACCAATGAAAATATAGTTCATACAGATAAAAGTAGCAAAATAAAAAAAAGAACATACTTCAATGCTTTTAGTGATATTTTAAAATTAGAAATTACTGAAAGAGAGTTTGGATTTGTAGAGTTATTTCTTTGCTTGCAACCTTGAACTAAACAGTTGTGTTTGTAATTGTGTATTGTGATAAATCCTAGAATAAACTAATGAATTATGGAATTTGAAGTAATAATGGTATTTTAATTGCTACAATTTATCAATTGTGTGTGTGTGTTGAAAGGAGTAAGAATTTTCCATGAGATTGGTGTGTTTTTTTAACAGGTATTATAGACTACTTTGACAAATTTAAGTGTATCGTGTATTGCAAATTCTGCAGCATCAGTTTTACAATAGCCATAACTTTATCAGAAAATAAAAAATGGCAGACCAGGTTGCTATTGGCAAAACAATTGCTTTGCAGGAATTAAATGAAAGAGGAGTGAAAGAAGAAAAATTGAGGAAATCTACTTGAGACAAAAATTAGACTTGGTAAACACTTATAAATTAGTATGATAATAATATAATTTTTTTAAATCTGAGACACTGTTCAGTAAAGAGTGAGCTAAGCCTACTCTACGAGTATAATAAACTTTACTGTTTAGTAATGATGTATGAGAAACACCTGGTTTTCTAATTAAAACATATAAGCAGTCAAACATTATTTAAGTACACAATTTTAAAGACTATTCTCAGACCATTATCAGTCTCAAAATAGACACACTACATGTTTGCAACTACATTGCACTATATTTTAACTGCTGGTTCAGCTTATTTTGTCTTTTTTTTGAAATAATAATTTAACGTTGATGATATTAAGATTAACAGCTTTTTGAAGCACAAATTGAATATTAAACAGTTTAATTAAAAAGCAAGTTACAAAAATTACTAGCTTAGACACACCATGCACATAATTTTATAGGGTATATCATGTGAGAACTGCAACAACTGTTATTTCATCATGGCTTGCATCATATTTTGTTGTGTTGAAGGATATAAATGTTTTCCATAATAGATTCAGTTGAAGGCCTATATTGTTGTATATGAGTCTGTCTGCTTTTTTTTTACTTTAATTGCTAACTTTTTTTTTGGACAATGTTTTGGTTCTATGATGAGTTTTGTTTTTATGAATCTGATTCTTTGATCATTTTGATACATGTTGGTGATGATGGCTGATTTTCCATTTCTATGTGTTGGTTTTATGATGAGTTTTGTTTTTATGAATCTGATTCTCTGAACATTTTGATACATGTTGGTGATGATGGCTGATTTTCCATTTCTATGTTTTGTTTTTATGATGAGTTTTGTTTTTATGAATCTGATTCTTTGATCGTTTTGATACATGTTGGTGATGATGGCTGATTTTCTATTTCTAAATTGTGACAGTGATCTTCATGTTCTTTTATTCTTACACTCGGAGACTGTTTAGTTTGACCTATCTAAACTTTGTTGAATGAACATCAGATCGAATATATTTTTTGGAAAGTATTGATGATGTCTTTTTCCTTTATTTAATTTACTTGAGAGTTTTCCAATAGGCTTGAAAACTGACTTGATTTGGTTTTTTTCAATAATGTACCTATTTTATTTACGATCTTCAAATAATAAGGTAAATATTTGTAGGTTCAAGTTTGTTTTATCTATATTGTTTATAAAACATTTTTGAAGGACAATCTCTTGATTGTGTTGGTGTCAAATCCTCATGATACAGCAACATTTTTTTTAAGTAGTTAATTTTTTTCTTGATTCCTTTTTTTTTAGTCTGAGCAGGTATTCATCATATGTCAAATTAATGTTCTGTAAATGCTAATTTTTGGGGTGTAAGCATGGTTTAATCTTTTCTGTGAGGATAGACAAAATGGTTTTCAATGAACTTTTGTTTGTATCGTGTCATCAGAATTTCTTGATTAAAACATCTAGAAAAGCTATTTTATTGTCACTTTTGACTTCATAAGTGAACTATTTAGAAGAATCAATATAATGTAGTTTATTTTGTCCTAAAAGTTTCTTAATCAACAATCATCTTTGAATTTAATGGCGAAAGTGTCATTCACATAATTTATGTAGAAATATGATTTTTGTTCTACTTTGTTTAACAGTGTTTTTGAAATCATCCATGTAAATGTTGCAAAGAAAAGATCATAGAGGATTTCTTTAGGTGAGTCTTTGATTCTGTTGAAATGTTCATTGTTAAACTGGAAATAGGAGTTGTTGAGACCTAATTTTATTAGGGTAATGATTTCATATTTTTCAGATTCAGATGTAAATGTCTTTGCAAGTTTTTTTGATAAGAACATCTAGAGTCCCCATTAATAGAACTTTTGTGAACAAACTTTTTGTATCAAATTATACCATGTTTTTATAACCAAGAAAAAACAAAATGGAGGTAGGTGCTTCCAGCCAGTTGCCTTCTCTCTAGTCAGCAGTCCAAGAAGAAGAATAAATGGTGGTGCGGGTGCCACCAAATATTTGCTTTCCCTTTAATCAGTAGTTCAAAATTAATGACAATAGCAGATAGTCTTAGTAGTTTTGCCTTTAAAGCAGGGTGAAGAAGCTTCGTGGCAATTGGAAATGAATCAAAGCCTGAATAGCTAAAGATGAACAAAATTGAAGTGTAGATAATCCATTATGTAGCTTTGTGCTTAACTACCGTATTGCTAACTGTACATATTTTCTAATAAACATACAGTGCAATGAAATGTTTAATAAAATAAAAAAATGTACATACTTTTAATTTTTTGTAGAATCTTCTTTTGGTTATATCTGTAATTTCAAGTCTTTTACTTTTCACATATAGTTAACTTTTAATGTTTTATTTTCCTTTCCTGTTCTATACCTTTAATACTCGACACAAGTCAATAGTGCCCTCGAGGCATAATTGCAGGAGCTTCAGCAGAAGTGCTCTAGCCTTCGGCAAAATTATCTTACCCTTGTGTAAGATTTTAAGCCTTAAGAACTGACAGAAGATATGATGTATATTTAAAAAAAAAGTTTAAACATTTCAATTTTGCATTTAAAACATAAATAATACAAAATTAACTGCCTTCCAGTGGCACAGCGGTATGTCTGCTGACTTACAACACTCGAATCCGGATTTTGATACCCGTGGTGGGCAGAGCACAGATAGCTCATTGTGTAGCGTTGTGCTTAATTACAAACATAATTAACTAAGATACAAAAGTAAGACCTAAATACAATTTAACTGTCTCTCTAACTATAACATATTTAGCTAAGAAAAAGTAAGTGCTATCATGGATAAAACAGCCAACAATACTACAGGCAGTTACATCTACCAGATGACAACTGTGCACTAATTTCAAAATAACTATTGTTGGATTATAGAGTAAGATGAAAGAGAGGATGTGACAGGTGGGTGTGACAAGAAGGTTCTGATTTTCTATTTGATGGCTCTGTAACCAAACAAAATTGAAGGCTGTAAAAATTATGCTTTATGGATTTGATCGTGAGTAACTTATGTTAAGTTTTATACTTATTGGAGTGGTGAAACCTAGAGAAAATCTGTCATTTTTCACACTAGGGGAAAATTCATGATTTATTTAATATTGACTTATCAAATTAAGAAATTAAAACTTATACACTATTAAGATATAGATTATTAGCTATGATTTTATGCTATACTAATTGGTATAACACAAACAAAAAGTAGTTTAATTAAATTTTGAATGTAAGTCACTAAAAACCTGATGACATACACAGTAAAGGATGTCTTTGCAGAGAGGGTTCATAGGTAATTATATTGATTAAATTGTCCAGCTCTAACAGTTGTCATCAAATGATGTAGTGTTCTAGAACTTAATTAATTAGGAGACAGGTGAGAATAATGAAATATTTTCTTTGTAACAGCTTATTCTTGTTCTTAAAATATTTCATCACTCACTTGTAGTATCTTCTGAAGTATTATTTTCAAATGGCCTCTTTGGCATTTGGCTTTTTAAAAAAAACAGGGACTTAAGAAATTTTAGTAAAAAGTGATATCGTGGAATATGTAATACCAGCAATATCAGACACGGTTGACAGATCTATTTCTTTGCTCTTTCATTTATAATGCACATCATAGACAAGAGACAAATCACTGAATTCAGATGTTGTTGAACACAGTTGATGGACTTGTCACATTGAAACCCATACTTCGCTATTTTTTATGGCTCTCCCTGTAGAAATTGGAGACATTACTTCTACTGTGTCTTTCCAACATACTTAGAATTGCATATGTTTGTTTGTAGACTGACCTTCTTGATATTTGTCTAATATCCCCACCCACGTTTTTCAATTTAGGTTTCTGATCTGACTTTTTGGAGTCAAAGGTCAAACATTACAAAACCTTATGTTTAAATCAGCCAATATGAGACTTGCGCAAAGGTACCTTGCAGGGTTGCTGACCATCTGTAATTTGTGGATAATCAATAATAATAAAAAAGTCATATTATAACACAATCTGTAAATCCTTGAAAAACAAAAAAGAAATTTAACCTCTTAAGTTTCAGTTGTTGTTTTTACCCAAAAATATCAGGTTTTTATTGCAGATAATGATTATTTGAACCTTTTAGATGTTTTGAATATATGCATATGTAAGATTGGAACTTTTTTCACACAAAAGTTTTAGAATTTTATCAAAGTCTGTTATCCATTTATGAACTGCTTCTAATCTTCTTATGCTATACACTTGAAAATCTGAAGCAACGTATACATCTCAACATTTTGCAATAGTATCTAGACTCCTTTTTCACTTTTGTATCACATTTTGAGCAGCAGACTGTATTTTAGGAACTTTTTTTTCTTGATAGAAGGTATGATGCTTGGGAAGTGGTTTTCTGTCAATCGAATTGGATTTACTTGTTTTTCTGTATAAAGTCTTGGAGAGTGGTATGCTTTTATGATCTTCTTAACCAGTTCTATCCTATATTCAAGATGTTTTCTGGTGCCTCCACTTTTTATATACAAACTCCAGATGTCCTAGTTGAGGAGATAAAAACATATTTTTTGGTATTTTTTGTTCCATGATACTATAAGGTATTAATTCACCCTGTCAGTGTCACCCATTGTATCATTGAATCGATGACCATTTTGGGCTTCTTCATTTCCTAGCGACCTTGGACTTCGACAATATCTACATTATGAACATTTAAAAGCAATGAAACATTTATTGTTTTTCTACTTCATAGCTGCTATATTGTAATTTTTTAAATTTTTGTTAAAACGACTTTTTGGAATGTTTTTCCAGTTTAGTCAAACTGACCAACATAGGTTGGTTGTTAAAGAAATGAAGTAGTCTGCAAGTTGTGGTGATATGTAAAAGCTGTTAGTTTTTAGACAACGTCTCTTGTCTAACAGAGGTTCTATTAATGTCTAGAGAACTTGGATGTTGCTACAGAGAAGTCTTAATATTAATATTCTTCACCTTAAAACAGTTCCCCTCCTTGTGTAAATGATGCTGTACACAAACAACTTTATACAACTGTACAGAAATGGAAAAGTATTATAAAAGCATGTAACTACTACTTAAGTGATCCTTTTGAAGGCTGTACACATTTACACATGAATTTATTTTTTTGTATCAGCAAGAATTAGTTTTATTTAAATATAAGCTAAATATTAACATTTATACAAAACATTAATGTGTTCAGTGGGTTGGAACATGTGGATATTATGGTGAAGGCCCATTACTGTTGTTGATGATAGACTGTTTATTGTGAGAAATAATCAGATTACTCGTAGAAAACCTACTTTTATATTATGCAAGTGCTGAAATGATGACAGTTACAGGTTACTGAAATATCTAGTCTATCAATATTTGCTGTCAGCAGACAAGGTTACATTCTACGTTATTAATATTCTTTTTTGTTTAATTTCCTGTTTGGTATAATTAACACTTTCCATTACTTTTCTACTTTTAAACATCTTCTTCTTTATAAAACAGATGCCTATTTATCAGATAATGCTTTAAGAGAAGTTTTTTGTATGCATTATATTAAGCTGATTTGATTTATCTTGGTGTATGTAGATGATTTAGGTTTAGGATGTTTATTAATAAATCTTAAATTGAGGTTGATGCACATACATGCATGTGGATAATGTGAGAATTAGATGCTTGCTTTTTCTTTTGTAGAATTACTCAGTTTCAACTCTTATTAGTGGCTGGTTAATGATATTTTTCAGAGTTAAAATCAACATTTAATTAAATAACTTTATTATCAATGTATATCAGTAAGCTTAGCATTAAAATGTAGTTTATAAGCAAAATGTTTATAAATTATTAATTATCTTCAAAATAAAATATCAGTCTTTTCTATACCATTTGTTGCCTCTACACTCCAAGTTGCCCATTTTAGATTTTCTTTCTACCGTTATATTATGCTGTGTATGTCAAACTAATAAGAAGCATATACTATAAATTTTGACAAGCCAGACTATATGAAAACCTCCAAACTTCTTACTCTACTTAAAACAAACAAAAAATTAAAACCCTCATGACATACCCATCTCCATATCATTTTTGTCTTTCACAAAATATCAATAATTCTCGGATATTATTATTGGATTATTCATAACCAATAGAGAGGACAGCTTTTTCATAGGTGTAGGAGGCAAATTAAAAGTGGGGAGAGGGGGGTAAGGTTTATTTGACTGAGTCTTGTAAAGGAACATGTGCTATAGCACCCTCTACAGCCCAGGAGGCTCTGGTTTTCTGGATTAAATTTTATGCATCCTACTGCTTTTCATGAGGGTAATATTACTAATTTTCATGGATTTTCAATGGGACAGATTTGACTAGTTTTTAAATATTTTCTGCCTATAGAATGCTCTAATACTTGGACCATTATGTCATAGTTGTATGAAATAATAAACTAACTTCACTACTATTTGTACTGGGAAATGAGGGCTACACTAGTGCCTTGATTATCTGCAATCCTCAGTCATCTCTGGTTTTTTCTTCTCCCCACATTTTCTCAAAATATTGTGCCGTTAGAATTATAGACAATTTACATGTTTTGGAGAAATTATCGCTCAGAAATTAATTTTAGTTGCAAAAGTTCAGGTGTTGCATGATATCTGAGATTTTCGTGTGCAGGATCTGGTGTGCGTTCAAATCGTAAGTCAGCTGGTTGAAACCCAGCCTTGTCTCTTTTATTCTTAGCTGTTAAGACAGGAATACAAAATATTTGCAAATTGGTTAACTATTTGGTTAGTGATTAAAAACATAGTACACAAAAACATACAAAATACACATTCAGATTTCTTAAAGATTTCACTCAACTTCAGTTGTCATCTGCTGTTCTATGCTACACAGTGGGCATCCCTTAACCACAGATTGTGTTGGGGTGTCACCCAGTTACGCATTATCCTGTTATCTACATATAATTGGTATCTTCAGTCTGTTTTAACAAAAGCTTTTGCGTAATAATTTCCAAGCATAGAGTTGTGCTAAGTTTTGACTTATTTTTCATAGGTGTTGATAGCGTGTAAATGCACTTCAGCATCTATAGCAAAAAAAAGCGTCAAAATTTAGGAGCCATTTATACCTATGTTTAGCAATTGAATTCAACTAAAACAGGATTGGGCAATCAAAAGGGGAGGTATTATAGAAGAAAAAATGGAATTCGACACGTACCTCCTGAAATCGAGCGTGACTGATTAACACTTGACTTTTATGATTATGACAGCTTTTATAATTTTTCATGATAATTTGATTAACTGACAGTAAAAAGATTATAATTTAAAACAAGGAACTTGAATATGTTAAAATTCTCTATTTAGATTAAACAATGGGTTAACTAGTGAGTGGTGCCTCCATTATCTGCTGTTTCTGTTATCCAAGATTTTTTGCTTTTTCTGGACCAGCAAGGATAATCGAGGCACCAGTGTATATTTACTTACTTTCACAATGAGTGCATGCTAACGATCACTTGATATCAACAACCACTTGATGGTATTGCCTGAACTAACTGCCTTTGGTCCTGTCTGAGTCTAAACATGTGCACTGATTGGTTGCATTGAGAGAAAGAAGAAATACAAAATGGTGTGAATTAGAACATGTTGTACAACCACAATGCCGATTAGTTAGTAACGTCATTTGCAACTGCAGTGCTTCACTCCTGAAAAAAACATGAAAAAGTGCTGAATCTGCCATTAAAATCCTAGAAACAAAGTTTGATTTAGGACTCGAAGAACGTGAAAATAGTTCCGGACTTCTAAGAATCCAGAACTGTTCTAGATTTGAGTTCTATTTATCATAGCCCTACATAAAATGGGAGAAAATGCTAGGCACTATGATGAAATTTTTAATAACCATGGCGACCTGGTGCCTGGGATTTATCAAGGCTTGGGTTAGATTGTATACACCTCCAAAATTTTCTAAAGTAATGCTGAAAAAGAATATAGCACACAATCAATGCAAATGGCAAATATATTAAATACAACATTAAAATAGATACAATAAAATTAAAAATATGTTTAATCCATGCCAATCTATGGCCTCTGAAATGTTAACTCTACATGTTTTGACTTTTTCCACATCATCATTAGTAGTGAACTTGCAAGACAAAAGTGTCATATTTCTGCCTTCTTAACTAGGTTGTGACCTGTGTGTAGGTTTACTATTTCTGCATAATTCTTAGGAGAGATCATGCCACATGCTTACAAAGATATTCACCAGATCTTTGTTTGTATTTAATAATTCATAAGCTTTTTAATACTTTATTATTTCTAAAGAATCATGGATTTTATTGGTCTTAATACCTTTTGGTTGAGCCAGTATGGCTGTTTTTTGTACATGTTCTGCTATGGCTGAGTATTCAGTCTTTTCATTTCTTACACATCTTTTATGTTCTCTTAAACAATATTTTAAATTACATTTTGTTTGTCCAGTATAAATCCTTCCACATTCACATTAAGTTTTATAAATTCCAGCTTTTTCTGTTAACTTTATATTATCTTTAGTGTTACCTGAAATATGTGTCACCTTATTAATCAGTTTAAATATTGGGTAAAATATATGTTGTTTTTCAAACACTTTAAATAAGCTAGAAGTTAAACCTTGAACATATGGCAATACTAAACATTCCTTTTTAATTTTATCATAATTAGGTTTTAAAGTAATACCATGATTCATTATTACCACATTAGTGAATTTCTTAACTGCTCTCTCTACAATAGTTAGGTTAAATCCTTTTTCAACTGCTATATATCATGAGTAATAACTCATTTTTTAAGTTCTCTTGTTTTGCACATATCTTCAAAATTCTGTGAACATAAATATTAAACAGAAATTTTTTTCTTTCAGTATAATTCCTGGTGTGGTGGTATAAGAAGAAAAAAAGATTTCAGGTAAATAGATATCTCTAAATTCCCTTGTTCATTTCTTTTTACCAATACATCTAAAAAAGGCAAACTATTATTTTTCTTGGTTTCTTAAGTGACTTGTATAGATGAATAGCATGGAAACAAATAATAAGATTCTGTATAATCATAACTTTAGCAAGAATGCATATGACTCAGATTACACTGGACAACTAGTGAAAACTCAAGTGATTTTGCAAAACTTTATTTTTGAAGATCTTTTAAATTCTAGTTCTGAAACATAAATTCTTTTATACATTTTAGAAAATCATTTTATATACTGTCTACCTCCAGTTCAAATAAAGTCCGAAATAGTATAAATCGCCCAAACAGTTTCTGCCAAGGAAAAACATCACACACAAAGTAAAGGAAGCTTATTACCACTATTTTGAGTATAAAATTGGTGACCAATAAAGACATTGGGCTCCACATGTGTGTTGTACAGTTTGCACATCTGGCTTGACGCAGTGGCTGAATAAGAAGAGAGCAAGTATACCATTTGCTGTTCTCATGATATGGCATGAGCCCAAAGATCATCTAATTGACAGTTATTTTTGAATGACCAATGTTTCTGGATATTTGGTCAAAAATAAATAATGCATTAAATATCCAGATATTGCATCTGCAATGAAACAAGTAACCTCATGTGGATGGTCTTCCAGTGCCACATCCACAAATGAATTGGGAAACAGAATAGTTATCCTGTGAAGAAGACAATGAATCATCCTCATTCTCTTCATGTAATAATTCTATTCCTGTGGCACCTAAACATAATTTGCTTGAATCTGAACACATAAGAAGAGTTAAATGATCTGAGTTGTGACTGGTTTCTATCAAAGCAGCATGGGGAATTTCTTGGCTCTTGTTTACAGCAATGGAATTTATTAGTTCCAGGAACAAGAGTTTCAATTTACCATAAAAGTTTTGCTTCTCACTATAGAATGCAAGATACTTTAGTGTATAAATGTTGATGCACTAATGGAAGATTTAGGTACTGAACATAATCCTCAAGAATGAATACTTTTTATCGACTTTAGCACAATGGGAACACTAAGCCATCGATTCCTGTTGCTCATGCTGTGAACATGAAAGAAACTTATCAAAGCATGCAGATTATACTTGTGGCCATCAAATATGATCACTGCATGTGGAACATATTTGGTGATGTAAAAGCAGAGTAGGTATACCAAACATTGTTGCCTTTTGTGTTTCTGGGACAGCAAAGATGATAAAAATCATTTCAAAAAGAATGAATGAGAGAGAATTACATACCAGGGAAACAGAATATTAAATATCAGTTTTTAATGAATCCTCAAACTGTGCTTTTGCCCCCACTTCATATTAAACTGGGACTCATGAAAAATTTAGTAAAAGGAATGAACAAATATGGTAATGGTTTCAGATATCTGTCTGATAAGTTTTCAAAAATCAGTGAAGAAAAAATGAAAGGAGTTATTTTTGTTGGGCCACAGATGCGGGAAGTGCTGATAGATGATGAATTTGAAACAGTACTCAATGAGAAAGAACTTGCTGTCTGGGAAATTATTCAAACTGGTTGTCAAAAAATTCTTAGGAAATCACAGAGATGAAAACTATGCTATGGTGATTGATGATATGCTTGAGAACTATGGGAAAGTGGAGTCTAGGACATCACTAAAGATGCATTTCTTGCACTCCCATGTAGACTTCTTTCCAAATAATCTACGTGCAGTGAGAAATGAGCATGGTGAATGTTTCCACCAAGATATTTCTACAGTGTAACAGTGATATCAAGGATGATGGGAGATTACTGTTGGTTTTTGGAGTGTGAAACAGAGAACATACACACAAGATGCAACAAGTCAAGCAGATATTTTGTAATAAAAAATAATATCATGATGAATGTTTTGAACATAGCCTGAATGTATTTCAGTATATAATCTTATTATACTCATTGCTTTTTAAACTTGTATTGCTATTATGTATTGTTTTTGAACATTTTTAAATGCAATTCTCAATGAAGATATAAAGTTATTAAAGAAAAAGTTATTTTCATGATATATAAGAATAATTTGAATAAATACTATCATAACTACGAAACTAAGAGGTAGGACACGTAATTTACTAACATAGTACCTTTAGTAAATAAGTCAATTGTACTAAACTTAA